TCCGTGGTGGCTCTCCGCCTGCCCTGTTTCCAGGGGATCTTCGTCCGTACGTGGAATTACTCTCGCGATTTCTCCGACTGGTAGTAAGTAACAAGCCAGGTGAAGCAGCACAGTCGAAGCTGGAGCCTTAGCACTTGCAGTACAGCTAATCAAGGTGTTAAAGCAGCAGCCACTCTACCGCCCCAGATTCCCCGCCTAGAAGTCGTCTGTGAATGGGGCGACTGGAACCACATGCCTTTGGCTGTGGAAAATACCTGTCACTCACGTGGATGCAGCATTCGGGAGTGTCAGATTTTTGTCTTCAGTGACCTCTGGGGATCTGATTCAGGTGCATGCCACTTTAAACCCAGGGCGGATTTACGGGCCTGGGGACTGACCACCTGCGGGGGGTGGCGGGGAGGTGTCGTGCCCCTGATAGAGAACGCCCCCCTCTCCGTCCACCCCACGTGCGTAGTGGGCTCCAGAGCCATCTCTGCAGCCTCTGTCCAGCGCCGTCACAGCAAATCTCGGGCCTAGAGGGAATGCGTGAATCAGCCCCAGGGCCAACAAGCCACTAAGTGCAGACTGTGGGGAACTGAGGCCCTCGGGGAGTTTCTGAGGACAGAGCTGGGGGTCAGGCTTGGGAGACCTTGCCAGGTCCATATTCAAACCGCAGTATAAAAGCCCGACACACAGGAGACGAGACAGCTGGGAATCAGGACCGGTCTGCCGTCTGATGTTGAGAGGTTAGGGTCATTTCTGGTGTGATGGCATTGGGGTTGTGTTTATTTTAAGAGCTCTTCTTTTATTCGTAACACGGACGTGCTCGTGGATGAGGTGGCATGTTTCTGATTGGCTCCAGCTGTGACGGGGCAGTGGCTGGGGCCCTCGGGGACTCTTGCGGAAGGGATGACGGTGCCGGGCCTGTCGTGACGCTGCTCTGTCCACTTGTGTGTGTGCGGTGCTCCCGTCAACAAGTGCAGAAGGTGGGAAGGAAGATAACATTCCTGACCTCCAGTCCCTGGCATTCCATGTTCCTCAAATTTGTAGTTGAAATTTCCTGCACGTTTTGCTTTACTCTGGCTGTCGGTGTGCACTTGCACACACACAGAAGAAAGGGGGTGTCCAGGGTGCGTTTCCACGTGTTTCCAGGAAGGAGGGGTGGTCGACAGGGAGGCCTCCAAATCCACGGTTTTCACTGCGAATCAGCCCCCCTACTCAGTAGAGGAGCAGGCACGCCTTGGCTGCTGGAGTAGAACTGGCCCATAATCACGTTTGTAACTGTCAGGTCATTCACTTCGGCGGGAGAGCCTTTTGTTTTCAATTCCTCCAGGAGAGCTGTGTGAATATTAACATCAGATTAAAAGCTTCATCTCAGAAACTTTGTGAAGTTTTTCCTGTTCCTCCTTGGCCCCCGTGTGTACCTGTAATCGTTCAGAAGGAAGAGAGAAACAGAAAGAAACAGCTCGCTCTCGGGTCGGCAAGTGGGAAGAAGGTCTCTGGTAAGAGCGCAGACTGCGAAGAAGTGTAACGTGTGTTCGTTCTTTCAGCTAGAATGTGTCTTATGGAAAAGCACATTTACCTTACTTTTTGCCATCATTTCAGTGGTATCCCTACTAGCTATTATTTTTTAAGCTGGGGAACGATAATTACATAGCAGTCCTCTAGCGTTTCTTGTAGCCAGAGCCCAGGCGTGTCCCCTGGCGGCTTCCGCTGCAGGAAGTATGCAGCTCAGGAGCGGTCCCTGCGCTCGGCCGCCGGATCCTGGCCGCACACACGCGGTCCCACAGCCCGGCCGTTCCTTCCAGCGCTGCTGTGAGAATCAGGGAAGATCACTGTGAAGATAGCCGCTGCCGTTTACTGTGCGCGTGCTGGGTTTCAGGGGTAGATGTCCAAGGTGAGAGTGTGGCATGCTCCAGCTGGAGGGCCCAGCCACTCGACGGGCCAGACGGCGTGTCCCAGGAGGGGGCCTCGCGGGCGTCACACGAGCAGTAGCCTGCATCGCCGAGTCCGCTCACACGATCGCTGACACGCACAGCGTTATTCCTCCCAAACACCTCTCGCTTCCTCAAGTGGGTGTCACGTTGTGAGATAGAAGGTTCGTTCTGTGCACCTCTGTCGTGAATTTTCTTCCAAAAGTTGTAGTTGTGGTGTGATGAGTACGAGATCGTTCACGTTATGTAAGTGTGTTTCGCTTTAACGTTGTGATTATTTTTCTTGACAGTTTTCACTCCCACCCAGACCTCGGCACACGCCAGCCGCCCTGCAGCTCGTCACCAGCACGGGGACCAGTCCCTCTCACGCGGCCAGGTGTCCAGCACGAAACCAGAACCCAGAGGCACGACATGCGTCGTGATCTTGGGGATCGGGCACATCCGTGCTCCGCTTTCCCTCAGCTCCCCCGCCAGCCCCTCGCCTGCGTCCTCGCCGTCCTCGTGGGCGGCTGCATGGGTGCCTTCCTGCAGCCCCTCTTCCTGGCCGTCAGGTTCCCCTCACCCTTTGTGTCTCAGGCACTTCATATGCTTATTTATTCTTCGCCATATTCATGCGGAACCGGTGGTAATTTCTCTAGTTTGCAGACAAGCACTGAGGCTTGAGAGTTTAAAGTATCTCTGTGAGGCGCCACCAAAACCCAGCATGTAGTGATGCCTTATAAGGGTTTTTTTGCCAAACGAATGATTGAATTCCAAGTTCATTAGAGACGTGGGAATGTGAGAGCTGCTGGTGTGTCTGGAGAATGGTGGCCATGTTCCAAGGCCGGGTGAACTGTGGCCTGTTTATCTAGGGTCTTTCTTACCTGTACGAGGTGGTTTTAAAAACCTAGAGAAATAACAGTTCATTCTTGGTGGGACCTGTACAGGTGTTTGTTGTAATATTCTTTAACTTTGCTGCACAGATTAAGTTATTAGTAATAAAAAGTCAGGTTAAAAGAAGTGTCATTAACCACAGTCCTGTTTATAAACTGTTTAGCATGTGTGCCTACTTACCATCCCCACCGTAAGTTACTGCCTCACATTCAAGGTATATCAGAGAAAAAAAGTCTAAATGAAATTCTTCAATTACGTCAATTAATCTGATACGTAAAATATTTTTAATTTAAGTAATGTATTTGATCACTTCTCAGAGAACTGTCCATTTGGGCGCGTGTAACAGAGGCAAACTTCATACTTATTCTGATAGGAATCAATGTAAAATTTCATTATCTTTTGACCATAGGTAAATAATAGAACTGTTGTTTTCATATCAAATCTTTGAAATAAAGCATTTATAGAACTTCCTTATTTCATTTGGAGGCTGAATTGTTGCTAACTACATTATTTAATATACCCTAGTATTTAAGTTAGTTATTCTTTATTTAATTAGGATGGCATAACCAGAAAAAACCCTTTAAACTGCACTTCTCATGTAATTTTGATTCTGTTAATCAAAGAACCGTAGGAGCCATTTATTAAAGGGGCTACATAGAATTTTGTAAAAGGCAGAATTTATAAAACTGACAGTAGCTGCTCTTTGGAATTTATGAAACCCTGGATAATATGTTATATACATTCTTTTGAGAGTGTTTGCTAAAACAATCTCTAAATAGTAATTGTAAATTATAGATTTTCCCTCTATTTTAAAATAACCTCTGAGTGCTGGGGGATGTCCTGTCAAATGAGCTATTTTGCTTTGAACACTAGTCCTAAGTAATGGGCACGGAGTCACAGGTAGATATGAAAACAGTTTGTATTATATTTTCAACATTGTGTGGGCCAAAGAAAACAAAAATTAGTTACTGTGGTGCCTCGTAGACACGTAAAAGGTCCGACTTTTACTGTGACCGCGTGGCTCTCTGTTCATATTCACACCCTTAACTACGTCAGTGACCGTGGGTGACCCTTCTCTGTGCTTTGAAACAAGTGCAGAAATCCCGGGGACAGGGTTGGGGGGGGACAGCTCGTAGCACGCGGTGCCGGGGTTTACAGGGAGTTCCCCCTGCACCACACCGTGTGGCTCTCCTTCTGTAAAACCAGAGCAGCCAAGGCTGTGTGCGCGTATGTTTTCATATTAAGTGCTAGATGCACAGTGTTTAGGGTCTCCTGTCAGGGTCACAAGGTAAATAACACTGGGAACTTATGTGCCACTTTTTTTTTTTTTTTTTTTTTTTTTGGCGGTACGTGGGCCGCTCACGGTTGTGGCCTCTCCCGTTGCGGAGCACAGGCTCCGGACGCGCAGGCTCAGCAGCCATGGCTCACGGACCCAGCCGCTCCGCGGCATGTGGGATCTTCCCGGACCGGGGCACGAACCCGTGTCCCCTGCATCGGCAGGCGGGCTCTCAACCACTGCGCCACCAGGGAAGCCCTTATGTGCCACTTTTAATGGAAGTTCACCAAGTTTTTGAAATACACGGCATTACCTCTGCTGCCCCTCTGTTCATTGCTGTTACTTCACTGCATTTGGTTGTGTATCTTTTGAATGGAAGCTGAAACCTAAAACTGACCTGCCCGGCTTGGTGGGCAGTGCCAGGGCAGATGCAGAGGGCCCGCACCGGGGCTCACAGACTAGACACCAGCTGGAGAGAAAAGGCCTCTCCTTCCTCACCTCCTCTCCGTACGACACACGTGGATGCCAAGGCCTAAATGCATTGTTTCTGTTCAACGAAAAATACTTAATTTTTCGAAATAGACTTATTTGAAACGGACCGACGCACTGGTCTCTCAGGCAGCGTTCTAGGGTGTAGTTACAAAGAGAGTGACTCAGAACTGGAAGACAGAGTCCAGACCTTCTCCACAGAACCAGAACGCGTGCCGTTACTAAAAGTTACGGAAAGGGGAACCTGACGTTCCAGGAAGAAAGCTCTGGTCCTCACTAGTGAAATGAAAACATAGTGCAGGTGACGCTGGAGGACACTTTGTGTGGCCGAGCAACGTGTTCACAGGTGCAGAGTGCATCCAGCCCTGGGCGTGGGGCGTGTGGGGTGCGGCCTTGATCTGCCTGATGGGCTACCCGAGTTGACAGTGTCCTTGCTGCTTCTGTCCTAGGAACCCTCACCCGGAACGAGATGGTATTTAAGCGGCTGCATCTGGGCACCGTGTCTTACGGGACGGACACGATGGATGAGATCCAGAACCAGCTCATGAATTCCTACTCACAGGTGAGCCGGTTCAGTCCTGCAGGGGATCTTCTGGCAAAAGTACCCGGTGCTGCTGAGCGACACGGAGCCTGTTACCTGCTTGACCTGCAGCGTGGCACCTTCTCTGATGATGCTAAGCCATTACTTGACTCATCGTTCGTTTATAAATCAAGAAACAGTTTTTGGACTAATTTTAAATTAAAATTTCTATATCGTGTAACCGTAGGCTTAACGACCTTAAATCGTTTATTCTTATTAAATTTTCTTAGTGGATTGTTTGTATAAATCACTCAGTAAACATAGTATTTTTAAGAGTATTGAGTGGAATCCTGCATCAGATATGTTTCTTAACAATCCCTCTGTTTTTCCTCATAATTAATAAGGCTTTCTCCTATTTTTTAAAGGTACATATTTTTAACCTTTTCAGCAAACAAAAGTAGGAACCGTAATTTTTCTGCCCTTCAACTTCCACGATTATCAGCGCGCAGCTGATCCTGTTTCATCATAGCCATTGTCCTTCAGATTGTTATTTTGAGGTGAAACTTGAATATAATATCACATTAGTTCATCTGTAAATATGTAGTCTGTATCTCTCATAGATAAGGACAGGGTTTTTTTGTTGTTTTTTTTTGTTTGTTTTTTTAAGACAAAACCTCAATCTTGTCTTTTTCACCAGAGCTTCTACAGGAAGAGGAATTGTTTCTTTCACGTGAGGGCGCAGCCTGGTGGTTACAGCACCCGTTCTCTGCCGGGGCGTCTGGGCTGGGATCCTCCCAACCTTTCAGGCTCCCGATGTTAGGTGTGTCAGGTCCGCTGGGTGCCCAGGTCAGGCGAAGACCATGGAGCGGTGAGGACATAAGCCACCTTCCGGTTTATTTTCGGCTGTGTGGTTTCCACGGCCCTTTGCCAAGTAGGGCTTGTGTTTCAGTCACTGGGTTTCTTCTTACCCATTGTATAACTTGCAGTCACTGATTCGGTGTCATCAAACCCAGCCATCCCAGGGCATCGATTCAGGACCACTTCCTGAGGCCTTTTCTCTCCTGAGGAGCTGAGCGAGGTGTGTGGGGTTGGCACGCACAGAGCACTCACGGGCTGTGATGTCTCCCTGCTGCCACCAGGCTCCCTGGGCTGCACCAGCGCCCTCACCTGCCGAGGCCGGCAGGTCCTTGTTTGCAGGCCTTTGTTTCCCACTTGATTTCACGAAGACTGGACTGAATTACCCTTGCCCTCTGCAGTTCTTCCTTGTATGTTGTCAGCCTTATATTCAGTTTTGTGAAAACCGTCTCCTTCTTCTGTAATGTGCACCAGTCTGGCATGTACTTTACTTTTGAGATGCTGTCAAATGAAAACAATCTTATATGAGTATGTATTTATTATATGTGTGGTCATACGTGCCCAGAAGCACACATACGTGCATGAACGCTTAAAACCAAGCATTTTATTAATTTGGATGTCATTCGTTTTAGTACAGAGTATTTTGTAACCTAGAATATTTATTAACAGAATACTTTAAAGGGGAAGGAATACAACTTCCCTTCTTGTAATCTATGTCTAGATTAAATAGTACCAGGTAACATCTGTTTTAAAAAATATGAATTTATATTACCCATGAATATGATTTTAATAATTCCAAATAAGTTATTTTACTAGAAAAAACATTAAAAGCAGAAAAGATGAGCCATATAAATACAGCGAATATAACTCCATCTAAGAATTTAAAAATCTTTTTACCAAAAGCTGTGTGTTGGTTAGCTAGGCAGACAGTCCTTTCACGCGAAACTGATTTTATTCCTTACGGTTCATGTTTAAGATGATAATTGTCTGCTAGTTCCACAGTAACGTAACACAGATCTTGTGTAACCCGATCATGTTTACCCACTGGAAGCATTTGGTGATGAGGACATGGTCGTGAGTGGAATTTGTGTGGAGTGAAACGATACAGCCGTCAGTAAACACGGCACATTCAGCAGGAAGAGGCAGCCGCATTGCTCGGCTGCGCTAGCGGCGGGGCAGGCAGGACGCAGGTGTGGGTCGGAGGCGCGGGCTGGAAGGGGCACCAGCTGAGCAGAGGAGCTGCCCCTCATTAGCCGGCACTGTGATTTGATGGGCTCTGCACAGCCGCCCAGAAGCAGGGGCCTAGCTTTCTAAGGGTTGTCGGGAGCTCCCCTGAGGTCTGAAGTGTCTGATGGGCCTTGGGGTTGGGGTCCTCCCAGGCCCTCCCCCACCAGGTGAACGCCAGCGGAGACGTCTGTCCAGGGCTGTCAGGCACATCCGGAGGAGTGGGTGGTGGCTTCAAGGGAACAGTTTTGAAATATGATGGGAGGGTCGCTTTTCCTCCCACTGCGGTGATTATTGTATCTGATGATTATAATCTACAAAGCAGACACTCTAACTTCAGGGACTGTTGCAAAGCTGGATGAGTTCATAGTATTAAGGGAAGGTTCATAATCATCTTCTCCTGCTTTTAGCTTTATACTTCTTTTTTTAATAAACGTTTGTTTTTTTGGATTTTATTTATTTATTTTTGGCTGCGTTGGGTCTTCGTTGCTGTGCGCGGGCTTTCTCTAGTTGCAGCGAGCGGGGGCTGCTCTTCGTTGCGGTGCGCAGGCTTCTCATTGTGGTGGCTTCTCTTATTGCAGAGCACGGGTTCTAGGCGCACAGGTTCAGTAGTTGTGGCTTGCGGGCTCAGTAGTTGTGGCACGCAGGCTTCAGTAGTTGTGGCTCGCAGGCTCTAGAGTGTAGGCTCAGTGGTTGTGGCGCATGGGCTTAGTTGCTCCGTGGCATGTGGGATCTTCCGAGACCAGGGCTCGAACCCGTGCCCCTGCATTGGCAAGCAGGTTCTTAACCACTGTACCACCAGGGAAGCCCAGCTGTATACTATTTTATGCCCAGCAGTTTTTAAAGAGAAACTTTGTGAGTATCCTATTCCATTCTGTTTTTAACTTTGCTTTTAGAAAGGACTTAGCAAATTCATGCCATGGTTACAATGAATCTACTCAAAGGAGATGGTGAGATTTTGAGTATTATAGCAAATATTTTGGTTACTCGACGACTGGGAAATGTCAAAGCACTTTGTAGTACAAGGATAAAAGGGTAACTTGTCACCCCAGTGGGGCGCATGGCAGAGGTAATCGTCTCGAGCTGGTCTACTTACTCCTGGCTAAGGCTAAGCAGCCCATCAAAGTCATGCATGTTACTCATCCCAGCATCGGCTCTGCTGTCTCTAATTCTTCGGCGTGTGTTTGACAGACGCAGTCTCAGGCCAGTGGAAACAACGCCAGTTCAACACTCCCAAGAAAAGCCCAGTCCTCAGCGCCCAAGGTCAGGAAAAGCGTGAGCAGCCGGGTCAACGAGGCCGTGAAGGCTGTCGCCCTGTGTCACAACGTGACCCCCGTGTACGAGGCCCGCGGCGCGGCCGGGGAGACCGAGTTCGCCGAGGCCGACCAGGATTTCAGCGACGACAACCGCACCTACCAGGCCTCCAGCCCCGATGAGGTCAGTTGGGCCGAGTGGCCCATTCCCGACGGGTCCTCGCGGTGCAGACTGCGCCTCTCTGAGGGCTCATCGGGCTCCGGGCCTGAGGAGTTTCTTGTGGGGTGAGGAGGGGGCTTGACGGTGGTTTTCAGTGCAGGCTTTCGCCACAGGCCAGAAATCTGGCCAGCTCCCTCCTGGTGGGACCCCTGCCCTGACCTAGGCCTTGCGTGGTTGTGCCCACACACCCCAGAACAGCCTCGATCAGTTCCAGGAAAGCCGTGAGCGGACTCAGGGAGCTTACTGACTCCGTAAGGTCTGCAGGGTGCACCCTCCCGTGTCCTCTTCTCTCCAAGTGAATCTTCAGATTTGCACGTTAAATTTCCAGTTATTTTTGCCAGAATTTAGATACGATGTATGTGTTTCAAAACAGAATTAGGATGTAAATAATTTCAAAAATCTACAGAAGACAGAAATGGTAAAATCTTAAATGTGATAAATGAGTCATTTCTGACTTTACATCAGTCATTCTTTGATTTTTAGGTTGATAAAAATTATTATTAAATTAATTTGTCCACTTCCTGTACAATCTTAGTGTACTTTATGTATAGTTTTCTCATCTACCCTTTGCACTCAGGGTTCTGATAATTCTGTAAAGTCATCAGACTTCTTCAAATATCTTGTAAAACTGGATCATATAAGTAAGTAACCTCTCAAAAAAGTGCCTTCAATCAAGGGTTTTAAGAACTCTGACCTAATGTCTTCAAGAGAGGACCCTGCCGATCCCATTAACAAGTTTATTTCCAAAGAGAAGAGTCCTTCCTCCCTGACAGCACTCCCGCAACCCCTGGCTCTGCGTCCAGGAGGGGCCCCTCTGCTGCCCACGGGCAGGCTCCTCTGTGCTGTGCAGCCTTCCTGCTCGGCAACAGCCGGCGGTGTCCCTCCTCTGGTTTCCACGACAGTACTCTCGTTCCCAAAGGTGCCCGCACGGCCTCGTCTGCAGACCCTGGGGGCTACAGGTGGACCACCGGCACGGGTTCTTAACCCTGTCTACACATCCCGTGGACTACTAGCTTTGTTTTGTTTTGTTTTTTTCATACTTGCCATTCTCTATACACATCCTCAGTTCTAGAAGTGCTGATTTTCCAGCAGGCCTGGTGGGACTGACGTTTCTCCATTCTGAAAAGCCAGTAAGTTGCACCCACAACTGAGAACCACTGAGTCTTGTAAATCTTTCCTTTTGACGTGTTTTCAGGATATGAGGTGAGGCCCAGTGCTGTCAGCAGCGCCCCTGACAGTCTCAGGGTGCAAAGCGCAGGGGGCCCCAGCTACGGCATTCTCACTTCCTAATGATAAACCCTGAGTGCACCAGCAGGCTCAGGGCATTTACCAGCTCCTAACACAGCTTTATTGTTTGAGAGCAAATTTATTTTTGAAGCTTTAGTTACATAGGTATTTCCTTTTCTTTTTTAATTGAAGTGGAGCTGATGGACAATGTCATGTAAGTTACAGGTGTACAGGACAGTTAGTGATTCACAATTTTTAAAGGTTATACTCCTTTTATAGTTATTGTAAGAGATTGGCTGGGTTTCTTCCCTGGTGGCACAGTGGTTAAGAATCCGCCTGCCAATGCAGGGGACACGGGTTCGAGCCCTGCTCTGGGAAGATCCCACATGCCTCAGAGCCTCTAAGCCCGTGCACCACAACTACTGAGCCTGTGCTCTAGAGCCCGTGAGCCACAACTACTGAGCCCACGCACCACAACTACTGAAGCCTGCGTGCCTACAGCCCATGCTCTGCAACAAGAGAAGCCACCACAATGAGAAGCCCGTGCACCGCAACGAAGAGTAGCCCCCGCTCGCCGCAACTAGAGAAAGCCCGTGTGCAGCAAGGAAGACCCAGTGCAGCCAAAAATAAATAAATAAATAAAAGATTATTTTTTAAAAAAGATTGGCTGTATTCCCCGTGTTGTACAATATATCCTTGTAGCTTATTTTATACATGATATTTTGTACCTCTTACTCCCCTCCCCCATCTTGTCCCATCCCCTATCCCTCCCCACACTGGTAACCACTAGTTTGTTCTCTGTATCTGTGAGTCTGTTTTTTGTTATATTTCCTAGTTGGTTGTATTCTTTAGATTTCTCACATATAAGTGGTATCATACAGTATTTGTCTTTCTCAGTCTGACTTATTTCACTTAGCATAACACCCTCCAAGTCCATCCACGTTGCTGCAAATGGCAAAATTTTATTCTTTTTTTATGGCTGCATAGTATCCCATTGTATATATATACCACATCTTCTTTATCCATTCTTTATCCTGCTGATGGACACTTAGGTTGCTTCCATATCTTGGCAATTGTAAATAATGCTGCTACAAACATTGGGGTGTATGTATCTTTTTGAATTGGTGTCTTCGTTTTTTTCAGATACATAGCCAGGAGTGAAATTGCTGGGTCATATGGTAGTTCTATTCTTAGTTTTCTGAGGAACCTCCATACTGTTTTCCACAGTGGCTGCACCAATTTACACTCCCGCCAACAGTGCACAAGAGTTCCGCTTTCTCCACATCCTTGCCAGTGTTTGTTATTTCTTGTCTTTTTGATGATGGCCATTCCGGCCGGTGTGAGGTGTTGTCTGACTGTGGTTCTGATGTGCGTTTCTCTAATAATTAGCGATGTTGAGCAGCTTTTCATGTGCCTCTTGGCCATCTGTATGTCTTCTTTGGAGAAATGTCTGTTCAGGTCTTCTGCCCATTTTTTAATCAGGTTGTTTGTCTTTTGATGTGGAGTTGTATGAGCTGTTTAAATGTTCTGGATGTTAACTCCTTATCGGTCGTATCACTTGCAAATATTTTCTCCCATTCAGTAGCTTGTTTCGTTTTGCTGATGGTTTCCTTTGCTGTGCAAAAGCTTTTAAGCTTAATTAGGTCCCATTTGTTTATTTTTCCTCTCAATTCCTTTGTTTTAGGAGACATCTAAAAAAATATTGCTACGATTTATGTCAAAGAGAGTTCTGCCTATGCTTTCTTCTAGGAGTTTTATGGTTTTTGGTCTTACATTTAGGTCTTTAATCAGTTTGAGTTTCTTTTTTGTAAGTGGTATTAGAGAATGTTCTAATTTCATTCTTTTGCATGTAGCTGTCCAGTTTTCCCAGCACCACCTTTGTTTTGTCAATTTAGAAATTATAACATGTTGTTAGTCATGTCAGAGCTTATATGGTGAAAAAACAGCCAAAAGGATGAAAGTTTGGTTTTTTTTCAACATGGAAAGCTGAGAACATTCCCACTTGGTCCTTCATCTCCACTGAAACTCAGCGTTTCCTCTTTTCTCTGGGGTTGTCACCACTGCTGTGACCTCGGGGTCACACATCCAGTCTTGGTGCCCAGAGTTAGGAGGCAAGGGCACCTGCCTTGAGGACATCTCTCCAGGCCCAGCCCCCTGGCGCCACACCACAGGACAGACCTCCCTCCCCCAGTTCACTCTCGAGGGGCTCCTGCACGCAGCTGTACCACTGTCCCTGGCACTCTCTTGCTGGCAGCCGTCTGCTCCAGAACCCGTGGTGCCTGCCCCGTACCTAACACCTTCCTGCTCTACGAAGTGGGCCTGGACCTCATGGCGATTTCCAGATATGAGGCACTCAAGTCTGACCGCTCGCGTGGTGCCCACGGGTCTGACCTCTGCCCCCGGCCTGTGTCCAGTTCTGCCCGGTGCCAACACTCGTCTTGGTCTCGAGCAGCTAGTGGGCTGGGTGCACCCCTGTGACGGGGGTGATGGGGACGTTCTGTTTTCCAAGCACTGTTTATTTGAAGCGGTTATAGTAAACTTAACTGCTTTTATAATGATTCAGAATTTTGGTATTCAACCAGAAAGAATGAAAAAGCTGAAGGAAAAGCAGCAGCTCTGCACCTGATCTCAAGTGACTGTGGCCTTCGCCAGCTTTGCCCTCCCAATGCCCTCTGACGTTTCGTCCATGCTATGTGACGTGTCCCAGCCACGCGGTGCTTCTGTCACGTGCAGAGTCTGTGCTTTCATTCCGTCTTCCGGGACCTGGGCTCTGTGCATCGTGGCAGACGGAACCCCAGGCCTGGGAGGTGGTGGGACGGCACTGCTGATCCAATTGGAGGGGGGCCGGAAGGTGTGGTGGTGACCTGAGGTAAACCTCATCGACACGGGGCCTCGGTACCGCATCCCCGTCACTGCATCCCCAGCTGGTCCGGGAGGAGCTGCCCCTGTGATTTAGCCGGGCGGTGTCTCGGAGTTAGATGCTTTTCCTTTTTGTGAGTCACCATGCCTCTCTTCCCAGGAAGTGTTAGGAGAGCCCGTGGAAACTGGGGCTGCCTGCGGTGTGGTCAGTTGCTGAGTCACTCCACAGGGTAGCTTAGTCACTGTACAGAGGGGAAAGCAGGGGGTGTGGAAGCACCCCGCTGTCTTCAGGGCGCATATTCCAGGCGCCACGTCCCCGGTCAGTTATGCGGTGGGCGGGAGCTCAAGGTCCCCTTCATCATCACCACTGCTCTGTTTTATAGATTATGTTAACCAATAGGTGTGTGAGAATCTCTTTGCAGCCACAGCTCAGTATGACTTTTGGAATCGTGTGTGTGTACCAGATGTTTTTACTGGGTGACGGGGAACCTAGGAGGACGTGCACAGCTCAGTGGTCCCAGCAGATGTGGCGGCCTCGGCTGGTGGGGTGGGTGGTTAGGATGCACAGGAGCTGCACCTGTCATCCTGCCGTGCCCTGTCGGCCTTGAGACAGGTACCGGGTCCCGGTGACGCTCTTCGAGAGGACATGCACCACCTCTTTTTCTTACAAAGGAAGGGTTAAGCACATTGTTTTTCATAGTCTAGCATTCTAGAGATTCTCTCAAGTTCCACGTGATTACATACTGAAAACGTGTGCTTTTCCAGTCCTGAGCATGGGAAACTTAGACCACAGATGTTTCCCAAGGAAAATTTTATTGGAAGTTTCAAAAATCCTGTATTACGTATTTACCTTATTACCTCCCAAAAGTAAATAAAAA